CCATAAAGTCAGCAACAATATGCACCAGTTCACAGGCTCAAAAGTCTCCAGCTGGTCGGGTTCTAATTGTGCCAAGATCGATCCTCCAAGATAGATGGGTTTTGCCTTTTAGTAGTCTTTGGTACTTTCAGTGTTTTTCACCGGCACTATAATTCATATGTACTGATTCTTCTACAGTATCCCTTACTTAATGTCCAACTTTCACATGCGTATGAGGTCATTGAAAATACTGCAGTGGCAAGAGGGCTTGTGCCACAGATTTACCTTGATTACGGCTTCCATGAACACTGATTATGGATTCAAGCAAGACAACATTCTTGACAGCTTCAAACTTTCTCCATGTCATTATTCAATGTCCAACTTTAACATTCACGGGGCAGTCGGAAATGCCATGGCTTGGCTCAGGCATACTTCTGTCCTCAGAGGGAGCTTTTCTGTGGCCTTTCAACACTTCAAAGAGATCTTGAGCAGCAGATGTACCTAACACAATGTGGTTTTTGATCTCCTAACAGCTGTTTCTAGGAGTATTGATTGTGGATCAAATCCTCAACCACTTCAGTCTTATCCATTGATCATGCTGCTGACCCTTCATTGATCCAGTTGTGAGGATTGGGGTTTTCTCTACAGTGAGTTGTCATCCACACTGAAGGCTACAAGGCTTGATCTTTATCAGCAAGTGCCTCAAGTCCTCCTCACGTTCAGCAAGCACCATTTTGTAATTACTCATAATATGATCACTTATTTTATGTGATAGGAGCCTTAGATCTCTGAAAGAATTCATCGACAATATTGGAAAACGGAGACCCAAAGAGTTCATCCTGCTGCCTGAAGTCCTAGAATAGAGGACACATCTTTACGAGAATTCTTCTTTCTGGATTCTGACTCTGTTATGTTTCCAGGAACGGCAACTGGTTCAATCTATGGATTTGATGTCTTATTACAATTTCTTTTCTCAACAGGGAGACCCACTTGCAGATGTGCCCTGGGATTCACTGGACACAATTGTGGTAAAACAGTTTGTGAGGATGTCTGTCAAAACGGAGGAACGTGTGGTGTGACTGCTGGGAACCAGGCTCACTGTCTCTGCCCACCGGAATACACCGGAGACCGGTGCCAATTTTGTAAGTGAGGGCTGAGGGCATCGTCTAAAGCCAGGGTTCACCCAGCTCCAGCAAGCTTCTGTTTTCCAGGTCCATTCCCTCGCTCATGCCGTGTCCAACCTTTCTTT